GTAATAGGCATAGCACATGCATACTTATGCGAAGTCTCAGTCGCCCTCAACGCGTTTGCACCAGTTACGCGTGTGAATTTTTAAAATACTCAATACCATAGGAAAACTATCAATTGCACATAGTCGCGTGACGGGAGGCAGCGGTAGGTGAATAATAAAAGGTGCCGAAACCCGAAGGACAGCCTGTTAAAAAAAAGCCCGCGAATTCCCACAGCCTGTCATGCGTCTATTGGCCGCCGATACAGTCGGTTAATTGGCCAGCTGTGTTTGCGCGATGGCTTCACGTGCGCTCTAAATAAGCTTTTCAACCTTCCGTTCTACGTTTTCAATTCTCAATTCGAAATGCATTCGATAATCGTAAAAGTTTGATAAAGCCGGGTGGGAACCTTTCAATAAAATTCAGCGCAAGTACCGTCATAATTAAATTATTAACAAGTAGACAATTCACTACGTATTAACTACAGTTAAAATAGCAACACTTACAAAAAGCCTACAAGTTTGTATGTTTGTGAGTGAAGTACATACATACATACATACATGTGTATGATAGGGTTAAAGGTGCTTGAGAAAAGGCAACACTGTCCAGTAAATATTGAAGTCGACAACGATTTTGCCGGCGTCACAGCTAAAGCCACTGCCTTTACATGGCTTACCACAAGTACAGTGGGTTAATGTATGTAAATGATATGCAAATTTTATGTATCGCCAACAATGATCTACACAACATAATTTGCCCGGCTCAAAAACGTTTTCCCTCTGCTACTGTCGCTAAAACCGTTACCGACCGCACCGTGTAGAATAACACATTTACGGTGTTGCTGTTTCTATACTTATTGTGCGTTGCGGTTTTTCACCCTTTTGTTTCTTTAACTCCAATCAAGAGCAATTTAGCTGTTGAACATATGAAGTCATAATGCAATTTAAATTGCATATTTTTAGGTTGTTTAAGTGAAATGCCTGAAATGTTTGCACTAATGCAGATAGAGTCAGCACACCACATGCATATATACATACATACATACAAACAATAGATTGCACATTGTATGTACATACATACTTGAACTCTTCCACGTGAGACGAAGAGTGATTCAAAAATATTAATTTTGAATTTTTGAACACAAGGAGAAGGTTTGAATTCTCCAGAAATCGGCACGGCTGCGTTAATACGCAGTACGAGACGTTTTCTATATTGCTACTATAGGACGCCACAGGACCTGATGGTTTTTAAGATCCGACTGTAAATGCCGAAGGTGTCAGAAAAAATTCTAAACTGGCGACTCCTCCGCTCGCCCAAAAAAAAATATCGAAATTATCTTGCAAAACTACTTTGGACTCAGTGTTCTATGGCGAAATTTTTTCCGGTATGGCCTAATGTACATACATTTCGACGGCTGAGTGGAAGATCGACCAATCTCGGCACCCGGCTCGTAAGCTCTTCAAGAATTTGGTTGAAGAACGTCCTATTTTGGAATTTGATTAAAAAACTCCCGATCTCCTAATTTGATTTATAAACACCCATTCGCAGAATTTTGTTCAAAAACGCCCTATCTCAACTGAAAATACATATATTTCAAATATGTTGAGAGACGTCGTCTGAAATAGGACGTTCTTCAATCGAATTCTGGAAAGTTTTATGAGATAGCGAGCTTTCAAACTGGCGGTCGAGATAGGTCGATCTTCCACTCAGCCGGCGATATGGTTATTTATGTAAATATTCGGGATAACAAATACAAAGCCAAGTTTTGAACCACCCTTTTTAACGGTAAGCTATACACACACATATGTACATATGTCCTCATGCCCATAATAATGCATACATATGTAAGTTTTCTACATTGATATTAAATTTGGAATTTAAAAGCAACAAATTACGAAGTAATTTTGTGCAAACCCTATTTGTTCGGACTTTTGTTAATAACCCCTTTTTGTTACATTTCATCGCGATGGCTATTCCCTCTGCTGGAGTTATATGTAACCTCCATTTACTTAATCTACTAATGTATGAGTGTTTTACGAACCTGATATGTACAAATGACTCTATGCATATTACTACATACATACATACATATAAATTAAAATCAAATAGCTTTATTTGAATATTTAATGCACTAATAGGGATACAAAGGCATGATTGGTGGTAAAAAAATATCAAAGAAAAGCAATGGGTTTGGTGGTTCACTCACTCTCAACTTTGTTGTACATACATTGTACATACATATATGCTACAGGTAGACACTGGTAGTGAAATTTTCCGACAGAAAATGGCAGATAGACGAAAAATTTAATATTACGCTCAGAGATAGCAAAATAAAAAAGAATAAAGAATCGCTGGGCTCGAAGAAATCAGCAACATGAATTCCTAGCTAGTTATTTCTTATTATTTTTTGAGTAACTATCTGTAGGAGAACATACTTAGTACTTACCAAAAGCAGAGTAGAGGTACTACTTCTTAAGGCTCCCCATTTCTAATCTCTACATCGTGGGTCTAAGAAGTGTGTAGTCAGTGTAAACCCCATTAGAACAGTGATCGTAGCTTTTACGAGGAAGTACAATGTAAATTTCTATTTTTTGTGATGTATTGTGGAACGATTTTCCGTTATCCCTTGTCAGATTTTTTTGAAGACAAACCGTTGACGGCGTTGTGCCATCTTCAGTGTAATTTTTCGTTCCATACTTTAATTAAACCACCCTCCTAGAAACTAAATAGAATAGCTTCAAAGGCTTATTTTGTAGTGGGCATTTCCCCAGGCTCCTGCTTGGACAGGTTAAAAACGATTTTCATCAACGATGCAAATAACAGATGGGCCGCGGAAGCAACCTGTCAGAAAATCTGGTCAGAAGATGATAAAAAGTGATCTAAACTTCTAATACACCCTGAGAGCTTCACTCTAAAAGAGTGGTTGTTGGTGTCACAGGTAGCAGAAAGAAACGAGGACGCCATCTCCTGCATATTTTATTGTACGTTCAAGATGGTTATGTATTAGGGTAATCGACTCGGTTTTTTCAAACCGGTTTCCACCGTTTTTATACCTTTCATGAGCATGAAATGGTATTATAACTTTGGTCCGATGTTTGTAAGTACCAGAATAAGAAGAGATAGACCCATTAAAATGTATACTTATATGATCAGATCGTCGAGCTGAGTTGATTTATCCATGTCCGTCTGTCCGTCTGTCCGTCTGTCTGTCTGTTTGTATGCAATCTAGTCTCTCAGTTTTAGAGATATCCGGATCAAATTTGGTAGGTGGGTGTATTTTTTTAATGTATTAATCATTTGTCGGAACCGGAAGAATCGGACCACTATAACATATAGCTCCCATACAACTGATTGTTCAGATATGAGATTTTTCGTTATAACTTCTCCATTTATGCAGCTACAAACATGAAATTTTGCAGCACTTGCACCCATTATCAACACAATGCTTACGGTGAAAATTACCAAGATCGGTTCACTACAATCTATAGCTCCCATACAACTGATTGTTCAGATATAAAATTTTTCGTTATAACTCCTCCATTTATATAGCTGGGAACAGGAAATTCCGCACTGTTTTCAATAATTATCAACAGAAAACTTACAGTGAAAATTAAAAAGATCGGATAACTATAACCTATAGCTCCCATACAACTGATTGTTCAGATATGAGATTTTTCGTTATAATTCATCCATTTATGTAGCTAGGCACATGAAATTTTGCACTGTGGTCACTCATTATCAGCAGAAGACTTACAGTGAAAATAACGAAGATCGGGTCACTATAACCTGCAGCCCCCATACAACTGATTGTTCAGATATGAGGTCTTTTATCATATCTCCTCCATTTATGCAGCTAGGAACATGAAATTTCGCACCATTTTCACTCATTATTAACAGAATACTTACAGTGAAAATAACAAGGATCGGGTGACTACAACATATATCTTCCATACATCTGATTGTTCAGATATGGGATTTTACTGTAAAACTCCTTTATTTGAACAGCTAAAACCGATAAATTTCGTAAGATATTTTATAAATAATAATACAAAGTCTACTGAGAAAATCGTCAAAATCTATGCTGTATAAGCTTTATCTCCTATAGCACTGATTGTTCAGATACCAGTTTTTGCCATATATCTCCTTTATGTAGGAAACTAAACCCAATAAATTGTGTTACCGGTTTACATACCGATCACATAGCAGTGAAAATCACTTAGATTGGTGCCATATAAAGTATATCTTCCATACCTCTGATTGTTTAGATGCGATTTTTTATATAAGTATGTAACTCCTCTATCGATGTATGCAGATGCATTCAAAATCAGTAATCTGTCAAACTAAAATTTGCAGATGTTCATGAAAGGTATGAAGCTTTCGGCATAGCCGAAGACCGCTGCTCTTACTTGTTTTTTTTTGAAATCTTGATTTTTCGAATACCGTCGAATGAACCATATTTTTTTTTCGAACAAACCGGTTTTTTCGTCTCATACAAATCTTAACCTCTAAATAAAAGTTTTGAGTTTTTCAAAGTTTTTACGACTTTTTCCAGTTCAAAGGAAACCCCCAAATAGCTTTAAGTTTATATCCTAGGTTAATTGGGGGTGAACAGGATATCATATTTAATTCCAAAAAGGGAATATTTGGCGTTACTACTTATGAAAAGTAAGCAAAAATAAACTGGGCTTATCCGGTTTTTTTTTAAGTGTCAAAATAAGGAAATGTTTTTTTTTGTAATTGCAATTTTTCGAATAACTCAAAAACCGGTTGTATAAAGTATCTAACACCCTAGTATGTATTTATCTCGGCGCAATTGTCCTGAAAATTTTATCTTGATGCTAAGTACATATCGCACACCGTCTGCAAAAGGGACACAACTCAAAATTACACGTTTGTCAGAAAATGCGAAAAACTATTTCCTTAGCGCATGATAATAATATGCGCAAGGGAATTCTCACCTTAGGTTTTTTTAACATATTAAAACAAAAATTTGCTCCAGCATTTGCTGAAAGGTAAATAAAAGCTCTGTGTACATTTCTGGTGCATAATTTCAAAAATGACAAATTTTGAGTTGTGCCTCTTTTAAAGGCGGTGTTCGATATGTAGGCGGTGGCAAAAAAATCTACAAAAGGCATCGAAAACCAAATGCACTTTTGAAATTATTGAGACCGAAGCTGAAATAATAAGAACCTTAGCGCAGTTCTAGGAGCCAATCAAGCGAACGCATCCGTACACAAACACTTAACTGTTGTTACTCGAGTGCGACATCATTAAGCGAAAAGCAAAAACATTTCAGAGCATTCGCAAAGCTTTTTTTTTTTGCAGCTTCAATGACTTTCAAGTCTCTAAAACTGCAGAGAACAAAAATAAACTGAAATGAAATAAAAACAGTAAGGGAAATGGTAAGTGGCGGATAAGCGAGTGACGAGTGGCGCGTGGGGTGGAAGCCGGATAAGTGGCGCTGAGATGCAGTAATAAAAATGGCGTCTGTTAAATGTCAAAAGCAATATACTTTCATGTGCCTCAGAAAAAATAACGGAGGACGTAAGAAACAGAAATGATGCTGAAGCAGCAGAACCACTTGAAGAAGTCGCTGGTGTTAGCAATAGACGCTCCTTCTAGCCATTCAAGAACCGGGCATTACACAGTTATATGTACTCTATGCATGTATGTATGTACATATGTATGTATGATACGATTCTCCACCATTCTGCATCCATGTTTCAATAGAAGTACACTCCATAGCATCGCAAAGCGGTTGAAGTTTTCATTATCTACTTTTGAATGGCGACTTTATTTAAGTACTTTTTTCTTATGGTTGTTAGTGCCTTCTGTGCCATTGAAAAAATCGTTGTCACCATTTTTATTTAATTGTATGTCTACTATTGGTTCATATGCTCCTCTCATATACATATATTACTGTTAATTTCAGATGCCTGCAATTAAATTCAGCGATAATAAGAACAAAGCAAAGAAATGTTGTGGCTATCCAGCGACAGTGGTGGTAAAAGTAAGAAAATTGAAACGTTAATTTATGCCACATAAGCAAAACCCACAATTTCGTCCTCTTCATTTTATCACCACCACAATAAACTTTACTTGTACTATCTAAGAGAACTTATCTTTATGCATTTGTTTCACAGCGGGTGCTCTCCAGATCTCCTAAGGCATACTACAAACGCCCATAAACACCAGAAAATCGTGATTTTATGTTAAGGCAATATTTTGCTTTTATTTAACTAATTTATTTTCTTCTCATCTCGCTAATTTTCCAACTTTGTGTACGTTTTCATGATTTTTGTTGTCATTGATAAGCAATTAATTGCACTGTGCCGCTTGCAATGACAGATTTTATAAGCTCGTATAAATGCTCCCATGCTACTGGTATAAATATTAAGAATATTATTTCAGAGAAGCTTTACATTGTTCATTGTTACATTGATTTGATAAATTTGTTATGAAAAGCAGCAGTTTAATTCAGAATATGAGTGAAAACGAGACTTAATAGCGTTCGGAAAAATCATAGTTAGCTCCCCTCCTACTGCATAAAAGGAACTTTCTCGAAGTTATGCCTTGCAACGCTTTTGGATTTAATTCTATTGCTCCTTAGTCCAAAGTTGCCCTATACATTTATCTTACCGAAAATCTCTGCCCTTTTCTAATCCCCGGGGCGGATCAAGCTGTCATGCGACGCTTTCCAAGGATTAAAGTTTTTTCGTTTAATAATCACGGTATATATCTTTCCATATTTTAATGGGCAGAAAAAGTGTGTGGGTACAGGGTTATTCTGAAAACTGAGAAGTCCCAAACGAATGGTCTGTCCTTCCTGTGGTGCGTCAACGAAAATATTATAAAGCATTTTACAAAGACGGATCTCTTACTACGAATTGGCATCTAAGCAAGAAAAGTCCGAAGATAATGACGCAAATAAGCTGCTTCAAACAAACGAAGCTGTATACGAACCCGAATTTTAAGCAATCNTAAGCAAGAAAAGTCCGAAGATAATGACGCAAATAAGCTGCTTCAAACAAGCAAAAGCTGTATTACGAACCCGATTTTCACGCAATTAATTTCGTGATAATAATATTCTGGTATATTTTACTGCGTTTGAAAACCAACGAGACATACTTTCATTCAAAGAAATTATCACAAAAACTTTTGTCGCAAATAATGTTTGTACGTTACGTCTCAGTGTAAAAATTAAATGTTTGCTAATGTATCGCTGTGGTCTGGCGGTTAGAGGTGCGCACTACCACACGGTATGTCCAGAGTTAGACAACTAGTCCGAGAAACATAAAAAAAGAGGTATTTCTAAAGCCCTGGCAGAGCTGATGACCCACAACCTCCGGAAGCGGCAGAGGGATATAGAGAGGTGGGCGACGCCATGAACATGGAGGTCGACTCGGCGCTATCGTATGCTAGAGTATTGGAGGCAGGTCCTCGGTAGAGTAGGTAGGTAAAAGTGTTTAGTACTTCATGCAGGAAGACTCTTGAGAGCGTGTGTCTACTGATGTTTCGTAAGAGTAGAGAAACCACCCTGGTGGACCGCTGAGCTCCCCGGTTTAGGTTCACCGAGCAGACGACTCTTTAATAGGGCCGGTAGAAGTGGCTTGTCTTCTGATTTGGTTTTTTATAAAGTCGGACTTGTCTTCTGATTGGAATACATAAGTGGAAATTAGGAGAGAGCGTGAAAGAGTCGCTAAAGCTTCTCCTTGATGCTCATTTGCCTTGCAACCCTTCCACACGAAAAATCTCGATTGGGGCAACGCACACACCTTCTGGATGAACCTGACATGGCCTTCGTGGAAACACTTCAAGTCGCCGCGATCCGATGGCATCATAATGCGGAGCTGTAAAAGGCTCTGGAGGTGTCGTGCAATTGGCTGGCTCCTATTTAAGTGCACTGCATGGGGACCACGTACATCCCAAAGCTTGGAGGGTTATCAGGATTGCGTTAATTCTGAAGACCGATAAAGACTCTCATGCTTCCCCTAAGGATTTGATGCCTTTCGGTCTGTTTTTGAAGAGGCTTATTGACTTGGACATAAGAAACGGCATGCCTCGAGGCCGTATTTCGAGAGCTCAACATGCTTATTGCAAAGGAACGTAAGTGATTAACGGTCCACAAACATTAGTACAGTGGATACAGGAAGCCTTCTATCACAAATCTTGTGAAGCCTTTCTCGACATCGAGGGGGCCTTCAACAATTTACTTCCGGAGGCAATAGTCTAGTCTCTTGATAATTTGGGAGTTAAAATTAACCGAATAAGGCTCATATAGAGCTTATTTCGGGACGGAACTGTCATGGCGGAGCGCCTGCACTCAACGTAGAGTCAATGGGGCCACTCCGCCTGCTCGTGATGGCGGCCTCACCTCCACTGACGTTTAACGTCATGTTGAGCATTGCGCCTGTGGATATTACATGCAGGATTGTCGCAGATCGACCAGGTTTCCGGCCTTCTGCAGCGTCTTTCAGGCAGACATGGCTGCCATCAAGGAAGGGGTAGACTCAAGGCTAAAGAGTTTGACGTCAGGCGACCAGCAGTGCCCTGAACGCTATGGTGGTGCGTCAGAGTACTTTTTAATAGACCTGACAAGGAAAGCCACCCTTGAAAAGATATCATCGGATATGAAGCAACTAGGACGACTCTGTCCTCTGCGGTTCACTCTTGGAGGACTGGGCCTCGTGTGTCGATGGACGTTATTTCCATTTCGATAGGGAAAACGTCAGAAGCTGAGAACAAATATGCGCATAATATTGAAGCCTAAGAGCAATAAGAATTTACCAGTGATTAGCTAGAAATACCGTTCGATTTTATGGGTATACTGCAGAAGGAAATTGGACGCAGAACTAACTACTGTGGATAATTTTCTATAAGTTAAAAGATATTTTATGAAAAATTAGAGTGACGTTTAAAATATCGTTCCATTGTGTGTACCATGATAAAAACATAGCAAGGTAGAACCGTTCTCTCAATTTGTCGGCCATGATTTTTTTTTGAAGTTTGCCAACATTTTAAAATCATATAAAAGTGAAAATAAAAAATTGAAATTGTTCGAAATTGTTGTTGCTTGAGATTGAAAATGAAAATCTGTGTGTGAGTTTGTGAGTAAATTTAAAAATTATATTGTTTGGAAACGTCAAGAATTTTAAAAGTGACTCTCAGCGGTTCTACCTTACTATATTTTTATCATGGTGTGTACTTTCCGATCTTAATACAAAATTACAATCAGTATGTTTCAATACAACAAAGCCAAAGGAAATAAAATGAACCGGCTTGGTTTCCTTTTTTAGCAAAAAAAGCACGCGGGCATTTTTGCCCTTTCGGAAAGGAATTTAATTCCGCAGTCTTTATTGCCTTTTGCCGGTGGACCTTATTTCCATTTCGAAAGGGATATAATGCCCGCGGGCTTTATTTCATTTTTTTAGGAAATAAATTCTACGGGCGTTATTTCCGCGGGCCTTATTTCACTTCATCTAAAACAATGTATCGCCCCTATAGTCAATACATTATAAGATATATGAAGATAATTTGTCGCGTGCCGCTTTACAAAACCAGGAATACAAGAAAACCAAAAGCAGAATTTGTGTCCGTGCCACAGGATTTGGAGCAGTGACCAACAAGTTCGTAGTCGAAGACGCTGCAGCAGCTGTTGAGATAATATGGAAAAAATACATACTACTTAAATTTGTACTCAAACTTTTTGTTTTGTTTTTGTTTTTGTTTCATAAATACACATTATCCTTCGACCGTTTAGGAATGCAACAATTCGGTTATCCCAATGATTCGGCTTGAAATATTCGGCTAAACATTAACCGCTCGCTTACATTGCGATGCAGCTTTTCGTTCAATCGTAGTCGTTAATTTTTTCGTGGTAAAAAAAGTTAATGCATTCCCGATTTTCCCACTGGGTTATATCTTACTTATGTACAAACATGTATGTACATAGTCGATACATGTATAAACTATAGGTAATACAAAAATACATACATACAAATGTACACATATGATATTTATCATGTAA